GAAAATTGAAATAGATAAAAATCTAAAAAAAGTTTAAAAATAAGTTTAGAAATCAAAATGATTAAAAAAACAAATTCTGCCAAACCTAAATGTAATTAAAGATATATAGCATGGAATTGAGAGTTGTAGAGTCATTTAAAAATCAGTATAGAGAGGAAAAGCAGAAAAAAGTCAGAAATCCATGTGTATATCTAAATGTATATTTTAACTAGCAATAAAATAAATTAATGTATTTGATTTACAAGTTTAGCTAATAAAAATCAGGTAATATCTATACAGCTAAACACCACTTCTAAAGATCCAGTTTTACAGCATTAGAAAGCTTTTGCCAAAATCTTGACCTGAACAGAATCTAATATGGGTTAATTTGTTAGGCCCTGATGCCTTTTTGTATAGGCCTTTTTCTTACTTCTCCTTCACCTCAGCCAATCAGCCCAATGCACCTTTCCTTGCTTTTTTTCCCTTTTGAATACACTCTTAATACAACTGCGAGACTTGCATTTAACTCAAGGGCCTTTCCAGCTTTTCTTATTTTGTATATAGTAAAATATCTTATTTTACTGCATATATCAGCTAGGGAACCGAATTAAGTTAGAAGTGGGAATCAAACTGTGCATTTTTTGTCTTTTATGCCAATAAGATTTCAACCTAAATATTTAATTAACATTGTTTTCGGCATATAATTCCCTTTCTTCTTAAGTAATAATGATGTACAGGAGGAAATTATAAGTATTGCGGTTCACTTTGTTCTTTAGCAACAAAGGAATCAACTGTCCGGATTATTCAGTCATTCAGAAGTACCTACATTTTTATTTACTGTGAACTAAAGTAACAGAAGTTCTGTTTTTACAGCAAAATTCCTTTGGATGAAGTTCTTCCGCAGAGATATTATATCAGAGATGGAGTGAAACAAATTTACAGTCAAAGCACACTTCCAGTATGTTATAGTAAAAGCTTTATGTATCACATCATTAAACCAGAACAGAATACTGAGGACAAAAAGCTTACATCTGGGAAACAAGTAAGTGTACTATTAAATATAAATTTAATAACTATTTTCAGAAAAATCTGGACTCTGCATATAGCGCCAAGGATCATTCTAAATATTCCAGGAAAATCTGTTAAGAATAAAGAGCATCTATTGAAAAAC